CTATAAGTTGGACAATAATAGCACATTCTTTCCAAAACCTAGAATCCAACACATTGTCAATGAATTTGTTTCCCTTGCTATCCTTCGCATATGCTAGCATAGTCCATCCCCTAGATGTCACTATAGCTCGTAAGGCATCCTTTTGAGCTAAAATACTTTGCAATGCAATGAAATTGGTTCAAAGTATGTAGGAGCAAAACAAAGCATTTCACTTCCACCAGTGTGTTTCCTTATCAAATGTAATGGAAAACAATGATTATATATATATATTGTAATCTTTGAAGCCTGGGACACAACATGATATACCTCATCCAACTTGCAAGTTTCTTGTAGCATCAAATTCAAACAATGAGTTGGACATGGTAACCAAAATATTTTGTGAAATTCTTGCTCCAATAACATCCCAGTAGCAACATAATTGGTAGTGTTGTCAATCATTATATGCACCACATTTTCTACTCCAACTTGTAACACAAATTCCTTAAATAACTTATATAGCATATCTATTGTCTTAGAAGCATTGGAAGCATTAACAGACTTTAAAAATACTATTCCTCTAGGGCAATAAACTAAGAAATTAATCAATGTTCTCCTTCATTGATCTGTCCACCCATCAGCCATGACAGTACAACCAGTCTCTTTCCATGTGGTTTGAAAACTATGGACAAATTTTTGAATTCTTGAACATTATTTTTCAACAAATAACCACGCAAGTTATGAAGGTTAGGGCCCTTATAACCAGCACCAAAACCAATAATTGCATCTAACATAGGCTGAGAATACATGGAATTCACAGCATTAAAGGGAATGCAAGCATCCATTATCCATTTGGAAATCGCTACATCACACCTCTCTTTTGCCTTCTTACTTTGCAATACACTTTTGACAGTAGGCTGAGAACCAGGGGTAATCCTTCGTACAAAGTAAGAGCTAATTATTTTACCTTTTCTTACTGTATCCTTGTTATGTATTGATTTACCTTGATCTCCACCAATGGAAATACATTTTTCTTTGTAAGAGGATGAAATTTCTTGAATTTCATCATTTTCTTGCAAAGATTCCTGCTCATCATAATTTTGAAACTCTGGTCCATTTGGATTCTTTTCATCATCATCTTGTTGTGTCTTTCTTTTTTTGGTCACAATACTTTCTAGAAGCAATCTCTTTTTTGGGTAAATAAACAATGAAGATATATTGAGTATGCAAATGTACATAGCGACACAATCCCAATGGGAAACAGAACAAAAACAGAGACAGAAGGACAAGACTGCAACAACCTACAATCAGTCCAACAAAAGAAGGTAGAGGAAGTCTAGGGGGGTTACATTTTGCACTCCCCACAGATTACAAAGCTAGTAGAAAACAAACCGAATTTACATCAGGTGCAAAAACAAGAGCCTAGAAGTTGCCAAGAAGAAGCAGCATGTCTATGAAGATGGGTGTCCTTGATTTTGATTGAAAGAAGCCTACTTCTCACCATATTCAAAATCATCATCTGGGTAGTACCTGGATCATTGTGCTCATTGGTGAAAATTCTACGATTTATTTCTTCCCAAATAATATAAATAATGACAGCAAGGCATAGTTTCCTAATGGAATTTTGAAGATGTTTGCCTTTCCATTGGGTGGACATAGCCTCAATGAGACTTTGCTGAGAAGAAGATTGTCATGGCCAATCACACTTACTGATGACATTCCTCCAAACTCTTTCTGAGTATGAGCATTCAAAAAAAAAATGGGAGCCAGATTCTTGATCAGCTCTGTAAAGTACACAAGTAGTTCCAATGTTAGGTGAAAAACTATGGATTCTGTCCTTTGTGGCTAGTCTACACCTTATAGCAAGCCAAAGGATAAAACTGGCCCTAGGAATGCAAAGATTGAACCAAAGGAGATGGTACCACAACACCTATGGTTTCTTGCTCCTAATTTGAGTCCATGTTGAAGAGGTAGAAAACTTGCCATTGACCTAGGGAAACCATTTTATCTCATCCTTTTTCTCAATTGTAGGGGGAGTAATTGGGCATAGTAGATATGATCTCATCAATAATTCTAGAGTTTCTAGGATTTGTTGAAGGCCACCTCCATTGGTTTCCTTGGATAATGGAAGCAACTTTAGCATTCTTAGTGATCTCAAAGTCATAAATAACTCTAGAACCCCATTTAAGAAGGAGAGGACCGTTAGGATGCCATAAATCATGCCAGAGAGATGTATTCCTACCATTTCCAATAACATAATGAAGGAAAGGTCTTGCTAATTCCCTAACTTGCAGTAGCTTCCTCCAGTTCCATGAATAGATCTGTGGAGTTTTGACTTCCCAAATGCTCTTGCCTCTAAGATGATGCTCCTTGATCCAGCTAATCCAAGTGTTGTTCTCATCAGAAATTAAGTGCCAGAGCTGCTTGAGCATAAGAGCTTTATTCCAAGCCCTTAAATTTTTCCATCCTAAGCCCCCTTCCTTTATGGGTACACAAACCTCACTCCAAGCAACCTTGGCCCCCTTTGTTTTCATTTCAGTACCAGACCATAAAAATGATCTTAGTTTCTGATCAATAGCATGGAGAATCTTCTTAGGAAGCATAAGATGACTAGCACAATAAGCCTGAATGCTACATAACACAAATTTAATGAGCTGGAGTCTCCCAGCATAAGACAGAGCTCTATTAACCCAGGAGTTTATCCTTGAATCCACTTTTTCAAGTAATAAAGAACAAGCTTACAACTTGAGCTGAAGGGATTAACCTTTAAGCCAGATAACATTTGGAATTTATCCAAAGCCTGTCTAAGAACTTCAACTGATTTGGGGTCCCTATGACATAACATGATTAAATCATCTGCAAAACAAAGATGAGAGATCTTTTATCTTCTGCATCTCCAATGATATTTAAACTAAGGCTTATCATGAATGTCTTGCTCAAGAATTATTGACAGCACATCCATCACAATGACAAATAAATAAGGAGACATTGGGTCACCTTGTCGAAGACCTCTGCCACTTGGGAAGTACCCTGCCAATTCACCATTAACATTGATAGAAAACTTGGGAGTAGTAATGCATTCACTAATCCATTTGACCACGATTTTGGGGAGATTAAGAGCAACAAGTACATCGAACAAGAAATCCCAGTCAACCATGTCAAAAGCTTTCATTAAATCAACCTTTATAGCACACTTGGAGGGCCCATCATTCTTATGATAGTTCCTTAGCAATTCCTGGGCCAGAAGAATATTGTCCCTTACTCTCCTTCCCTTTATGAAGGTAGTTTAAGCTGGGTTGATCACATGAGGAAGCAGAATTTTCAGCCTATTTGCTATGATTTTGGAGATTACCTTATAGAGGGTATTACAACATGAGATGGGCCTAAAATCAGACATGCTTGTGGGATTGGGGACTTTAGGAACAAGAGCAATAATAGTAGTATTCAATTCCTTGAGAAGCTGACCAGTGGTAAAGAATTCTTTAACCGCATCAACAATATCTTCACCAATGATAGACCATGCCTTTTGGAAGAAAAACCCATTGAAACCATCAGGACCTGGAGCTTTATTGGGATTGAGAGAGAAACACACTACTTTCATTTCATCCCCAGTAATCTCATTGCTAAGAATCTGAGATTGCTCCCTTGTAATGGTGATTTGCAAACTGTTCCATATGGCAGAAGTTCTATAAGGATCCTAAGAGCTTCTTCTACCCATTAAGTTTTGGAAAAAATTCACAGCCTCATCTTTAATTTCCTTATCACCTTTAGCAATAGACCCATCCTGTCTTTGTAAAGTGATAATCTTGGAATTGTTCTTTCTACTCGAGATGGATTTGAAAAAGAAGGATGAGTTTTTGTCACCTGTTGCTAGCCATTGGATTCTAGACTTTTGTCTCAGAAAATCTTCTTTAAACTTGAAGCCTCAAAGCATTTACCCACCAATTCTTTTTCAAGAATCCTGAGTGATTGGTCAAGGGGATAGGTAACAAGCTGCCTTTGGCAAGCAGAAAGTTGCTCCTTTGCCTCCATAGCCTTGATCATAACATCACCAACTTTTTCCTTGTTGACTTTTTTGAACTCAACTTTCAAGAGCTTAAGCTTTTGGTTGACTTGGAATTGAATAGTTCCCCTAATTTGAGCTTGCCAAACATTATTAACAATGGAAATAAAATCCTCCCTCTCAGCAATGAAATTGAAGAACTTAAAAGGGCATTTCTTAGCTTTGATTTCTTTCCCCATTTTAACCACAATGGTACTATGATCAGAAATACCAGAAGGGCGAAACTCAGTTGCTGCCATTGGGAATTTTAGAATCCAAGCTTCATTGACCATAGCTCTATCCAGTTTCCTAACAGTACAGTCTGGACCTCTATTATTACACCAAGTAAATTGAACACCAAAGTATCTAAGGTCAGTGATCTTAGCTGAATGAATGGCATATTCAAATTCATCCATGGTCAAGGTCCTTCTAGTTGAGCCACCAAGAATTTCTTCAACTGATCTAACCACATTAAAGTCACCAAGGATTATCCAAGGAACATTAAATGTAGTCATTGATGCACCCTTCATGACCCTCCAAAGCCTTCTCCTCTCAATATCATCATTAGAACTATAAACAACAGAAAGTGTAAATGAAGTCATACTTGTATGATGAGTGACCTTGCAATGAATAGCTTGATCCATTTCAGCAAATTTTTGAACATTGATGCTTTGAGGATTCCACCCAATCCACACCCTACCCAAAGTGTGACTGTTGTAATTATCACACCAGCACCACTCTCTGATAATGTTTCTCCTGGCAACTTCCTTATTAACAGCCCTTACTTTGGTTTCAACTATACCAACCAAATCAAGCTGCTGTTCAAAAATCATTTTCCTAATCTCCATTTGTTTAGGGGTGGAGTTAAGATCCCTAATATTCCAGCAAGATAGATTGATCATTTGGGTTTGGGCAAACTCTGATCCTGGGCTTTAGGAACCCTAACTTTCCCTAGGCTAGGAGATTTTTGCTTTTGTTTTTTCTATCTTGTTGTTCCAATTGGAATTCCATCAATGTTCTTCACCTTGTTGCTAAGGAGGCTTTTCACCGGGGAAGCTGATTTCTCCATGTCGTCCTCCTGAATCCCAGAAAGATCAACCACAAGGCTAGTAAAATTATTACAAGTCTCAATGTTAATAGGAGCCATAGGAATGGGGGAAGAATGGATTACCACATTCCCTGTATGAAGAATCTCCCCTTGAATTTGTTGAGATAACTCAGGCAGAGTAAGATGGGGGTCACTTGAACTTGTACTGCAATAGTTAAGAGTCTCTTGATTTTGCAATTGATTCTATACTTCTATACCTAAATCAATAACCATTCCTTTGCCCTTTTCTAAGGGTGTTTTTTGTTTCCATTCTTTCTTAGTTGTACCCATAGGATAATTAGAGTTACTATGTCTAAACACCTTGCATATTGTGCATATCCTAGGTTTCCATTGATATTCGACAGCAATTTCATAGACCTCTTCATCCTCATTATCATCAATGCCCTTTCTTCTAAGGTCAAATGATTCAATGGCCTCCCTGTCTACTTGCATTTCAACACATAATCTGGCAAAGGTGATCCTCTGCTTAGATTCAATGAGGAAATCAGCATATAAGGGCTCACCAACTGCACTAGCAATGTGACTTAATCCCTCTTCATTCCAGTATTCCAGTGGAATATTGTAGAGCTTGATCCACATTGGAATCTTGGAGTGTGAGTCCTTGGCAAGCCGAAGCTTGGGGTGCCATTATTTGAGCAAAATTGGTTTCCCAGAAAACATCCATGAACCCTCTTCAAGCACCTTGGAGCTAGCTGTTTCATCACTGAATTTGAAAAAGAAGAACCCAGTGCCATTGGCCAAGACTTCAATGAGTCCTAGTCTATTCCATAACCTGAAGGCAATCTATTTGACCATCAAAAATGGCAATTTCCTATCAATAAAAAACCCCACAAGGCATGTTTCCCACTCCTTACAACCTTTTGCAGCTATATCCCTAGGGGGAGAGACAACAATCCTTTGAGTATCCCTAATGGGTTCAACAAATTTGAGAGACATGGCTTTATGATTAGCTGAACCACGAATATTTGAGTCCAAACCCACTCCATTCTTGACAACCTGGCTTCAGGAGGTAGTTTGTTTCAATCTACCATCACTTCGGGGTTGTTGTTCTTGTGGTACATTTTGGGTGGTGACTAAAGAACCTTGCATCCCCTCATTTGACAGAGCATGGCCCATACCTTCCTTACTTCTAATAGAGGATTCAGAAACAAAATAAGAAGTAGTGCTAGGACATGGGTTTAACTGTGGCCTTACCTCTATAGCCAACAAGATGGTTACCTTGGTTGGCTTCTTGCTTGGGACTTCCTTGTGCATGTTTGTTCCATTATGTGGATTCCCACTAGAGCTTGCACAAATCTGTTGTGTGTGTATTCTAGCACCATTTGGAATGGTATAGCAACTACTCTCACTTGAAATGTATAGTTCTTTAACCAAAGATTGGGACACTGCAGGTGAGCAAGCTTGAGGGGTTTGTACATGATTCTACTTCTCCTTTATTCCTGGCCAAATGTTGCTTGAATCTATTGATACCACATCCCTTAATTACCTTGTGGCAATACATACAAATCAAATTCTTTCCCTTTTTTGAAGAGATAGATGCTTCTCAACAATGTGCCCATGCAAGGTCGATCTTTCCTCTAACTGCAACTCTTTTAGAAGAAGAATTTGGTGTAGCACTAGTTGGTGTAGAGCTAATTGGTGTAGACTAAGATTCAATTGGTGTTCCGGATGAAGTCATTTGGATATGACATCCAAAACCAAAAATCCACAAGTAATTAAACCCGACAACACAACACACTAACTCTAAGCTTTAAAGTATAAACTAAGAGTCTAAGATACAAGACAATAAATAAAGTATAAACCCCAACAAATGAAAATAATAGAGCCCATAGGATAATTTATGCAGTGCAATCAAACACAATGAGAATTTCACAAGCTCACACTACTAATCAACCCACAAGTTTACATAAGAATTTCACAAGCCCTAAACTCAAAACTTTTCTTTATGTTTTAAAAGGAAAAACACATAATCATCCCAAATTTTCACTGATAGAGATAAGAGTAGGATAAAGCATTATCAATCAAATATTCAAAGCTCTTGGGATCATAGCTCGATCAAATTATCAACCACTTACTCATGAAACACTATAGCCTAATATTAAGCACTTGTTCAGATTGCATCTTGTAAAATTAAAATTACTTGTTCAGAAAAACATTTCCATCTTATTTTAAAACATAATAGCTTTTATAAATCAGATTGCATCACATCTACTAAAATAATCAAACACTTAATCAGAATTCTACAAATCAAATTGCATCATAACTCATAAAATTATAAATTACATCATAACTCATATTTTAAAAATAGCAATTGATTACAGACACTGAACGTGAGAGAGAGAGAGAGAGAGAGTAAACTTGCTACTCGAGGACTCGATGAAAATGCCTGTGGAGCTCTGAACTGAAAGATGGAGGACTTGATGGAGCTTGGTGGACTGGTGGAGGACTTGAGCTTGCTGCTCACTTCTTTGCTTGCTCGTACTCGCAAACTCACAGTAGAGACTCAGAGAAAGACTGAGACATAGTAACTGTAAGTCTATAACTGCAAGAGAAAGAGAGAGAGAGAGAGAGAGAGAGAGAGAGAGGAGGAGAGAACTCACCTCGTCACTGATTTTGTCCACAATCGCTAGACTGGAGTCAATGTTGTACGCATGCTAGAGGCGGACTGGAGTCGATGCTGCCTATTGGTGCTGGAGGTTGAACTAGAGAACGAAATCAATGTTGGAAGCTGGACTAGAGAATGGAGTCACTGGTGGAGGCTGTGCTTAGTCGCTAGTCTGGTCTGAGTGATTTAGGGAAAAAACACAAAATGACCAAAAAGTCCAAAAAAATCTCACATTTATACAAATTAAATTAAACCATCTAGTTTGGTTAACTCGCCCGATTTGCACAGATTTACCAGTTTTTGACCAGTTCAACGGTTTGATCCCAGTTTCTATGCACAAATGGTCTTTTATGCAAATCGGCCCAGTTTGAGCACCGGTTCACCAAGTCGATCCGTCGGGCCTTGTTGGGTTTTAAAATATTACCCCAAATTGTGGGGATGCAAACCGACGAGATCACCTAGATAATAATTCCCAAATTTTTTGAGACACAAAAAAGAACCTTCACCTCCAAACTTCAGGCTCAAGAGGAAGGTCAAAGATAAAAAATTCCATTTCTCTTCTCCCTACGAAGCAATAGAGCTCAGACAGCTCCACGAGACGAAAGAGGTTGAGAAACTTTGCCAAGGAAACTCACGGTCGCATGAACAAGCACTCCCACAGGACAAGGAATGCCAAAAGAATGACTCAACGCGCCGATAATAGCATGGCGGGACAAAAACTGAAGAAATGACTAACCTCCCTCACAAAGGGAGGAAGGGGAAACCTGAGGCCTAGTTGGAAAAGGACCTCAAAAAAATAAACCCTATGAGCCAAAGACTAGTGATAGGGGTCATTGTCTGCGACATGAATTGATACCCTGGTGGAAAAATCATAATAGCTAGAAAGCGCCCGGGCCTCCGCAGTATCAACGTCCCTCCCCTCAGTATCTAGAAAGGTCTCTCTTAAGGTGTCATACTAGAAACTAAAAGCTGAGCCATGTTGAGAACTCAAGAGAAAGGTTCAAAAAATCTAACTAAAAAATCTGGTAGAGAATGAAGCAAAAGAAACTCAAGCAAAGTGGTGAAAGCCTAAATAGAAAATGCGTAATATTTAAAAGGGTTTTTGGCAGTACAAATCCCTCTAGAAGGAAGCAATTAATGTGCATCCATCGAATTAACTACACCGGCCACGTGTCAAAAAATGCAGGGAATGGGTGAAACTTTTGAGGAGACACCCTCACCTTCGTAGGCACATAGCCTTAAATGGAGAAAATCTTCAAACTTGGAGGACACGAAAAGACAGAGCAAAAATTCTATAATAATCTTGATGATCCTAAATAGCTCAGGCATGGATATTCAGCTCAAGACTCATAAAAGACAAACCTTGGTAGGTCATGAAACATCCGGGCTTGTAGCGATGTGGCAAGGCAAACTTACCAAGCAACCCAACTATGAGCAAAACAATAACCTACTTACTAGCTCGGGAGATCTCCACTACTACAAATGAAGGTTGGTACAACTCAGAGAAGCGAAATTCATCCCTGTCACCCCTCCAAAGCTAAGAGCTAAGAAGAATGCATTAGAGGAGAAAGGGGAAAAGAGAAGAATTAAATAGGAAAACACATAAAAGCCATCCGGAATAAAAGAAGCAATAAATGGGGAGCATTAAAAATAAGAAATGGAGTTGAAGTTACATAAAAATTCTACAAATTTACCTACAATTCATTGCAAAATCCTATAATCCATGGATAAAAACTAAGCAGTAGAGTCCTCATCCCCTTCAGTTTGCTCGGCACAAACTCCCTCAGTAGGATCCTTAGGCTTCAACGCCTTAACCTTTGGCATCAAAGAGTCCAACTCAAGGTCTGGGTATGACCTCTCAACTTGTTCTTGGAATTTCATAAACCATTGCACGAAGGAAGAAGCATTTGCCTTGAGGAATTTCAACCATTTTTACCTTCATCTCCTCATCCTTGCCCTCAATTCAGCGTTCTTACCCTTAATGGAGTCCTAAAAATGAGTGTCTAGCTCGGCATAGGCCCTCTTCATCTCTGCCAGCTTGGCTACAAGGACAGCGTTCTTCTCCTCAACTAGACCTCTTCCCACCTTAGTTTGTGTCAATAGTGTCTAGTGCCCCTCCCAGCTCGAGCTCCTTTGTAACCAAGTCCTTCCTTAGTTGCTACTCAGCAAGTTTGGATCTCTCAATTTCAGAATGCAGGGGAGCTTGTTGGGAGAATTGACTAGTTAGCACTCTCGAAACATGCTAGTGATGGAACTCCATCATCTTGATGCATGCCAAGGCCTAACAATAGAGGCACATACTGTAAAGAAAAAAAAAAGAGAAAGAGAAGCCAAAAGCCATATTCTAGAGGGCAATAAAATAACACAATACCTCATCCAAACTCTGGATGGCGTGTTTCGTCTTCCTTCCAAAGATGACCTTCATCACCTCCTTGGAGTTTGAGGTGGGAACTAAGTCAGCTAATGCATTCATAACTACAGCAAGATCACGGAGGAATCCACTGCTCTTCATGTCTAACTCAGCAAGACCCTACTTGATCTCTTCTCCTTCAGGGGCCATTGCTGGAGAAAGAGCTTAAGCTATCACAATGGACTCAACTCCTTCAACCTCAAGGGGATTAGAAAGAGTTGAATTCATCCTGATAGGCTCGACTTCTTCCATCAGCTGCCCACCATTGTATGGCAGCTCTACCGGTGAAGAGATGGGAAGATCAGTTTTTGGGGAGAATAGATCCTCGTGTTCATGCCCCGAGAGGGTATTCGCCAACTTCAATTTCTTTAGGGAAGGAAACTCATAAGTTTTCACCAGCTTCATCCCCTTTCTCTTCTTCTCATTGGCAAATCTCGCCATTATGAATTCAAGATCCATCTGGTCGAGGGATTTCTTAGGCAATGATTTGACGATCTGAGTAGGCAATGTCTCCATAAGAGGACCAAGCTCATATTCTACAAGCTTCTCCTTGGTCACTAGAGTAAAAAAGGGCTTACGGCCATAGGCTTCAACTAAAGCCACTCTCCCAGCCTCTATAGCATCAAGGGAATGGTGAAAACCTGCAAAAGATGCCAAAGACAAGTTAGAACCAAGATGAGAATGCATTCAACAGGCGAGTATTTAAATGTTGCCCTTACATGTGTTCCTCGAGTCCCCCCTAAAACTTGGGAAGCGAGGTATATCCCTAGACGCTCCTAAAAACTCCTAAGAATCACCTCGGACGAGGAAATTTGGTTTCCACCCATTGTTGGACAAAGGAAACCCAAAAACAAACTCTTCACCTTAACCCGCTTGGTAAAATAGAAAAAGCCCAGTGCAAGAGAAGACTTAAGTTGAAAAAGGTGGGCAAACTCTCGAATAGTGGGTGGAGACATGTTCCCACTCTCTCGCCAATGAACAAGAAGGCCAACTAGCAAGCCCCAACTATTGGGGGAAACCTAAGCTGGACACACATTATAGAAGGCAAGCACATCTTGAATGAAGGGATAAACAGGGAATTTGACGCCAGTGTGGAATGCCGAGGTGAAAAAAATAGGTCATCCCAGGAATAAATAAGTTACATCTCTGTTTTCCTCAAGGGAATGGAACTGAATAGAAGCTGGAAAGGAATACTCCTCCCTCAGGGCCTCCAAATCATCCTCGTCGATACAACTAGAA